CAGAGGACACACGGATGGCCTAACCCTCCTTAGAGATCCACATGCGGAAACAAAGCCAAAAGTGTGGGAGAAGATTTACTTGCTTGACAAATGACTAATGCAATGAGCTGATTCAGGCTTCAGTCAGAAGTCCTGCAACACTCCTATGATTGCCTGCAAACGTACAGTCTCAACTGTCATTCAGCTTTATCCAAATTGTTTACACTCCTGCATCTGGTGCGAATATCACCTTACATGCCACTCCTAGAAGGCCAAATAAGTGATAATGCTTGACCAGCATCAGGACAAATCATGCTGAGGAATCTACAAGCAAATTTGGATAAAAAGATGCTGCAATGACTTGTGTACCAAGAATACTATGCTGAAGATGCACTTTCCCCTGCAAAAGGACGCGGCCTCTGCCGTAACAGTCAACATCATCAACACACAGAAAAACAGTGGTTGTTCTCAGTTACACAAATCTGGTCTTCTTTGTAATGAAATGATGATTCACATTCTAGCAGTTACAATTCATATACTGGAAGTCAGGTATGTCATCCCATGCAAAGCCTCTGGGACAAGGACTAAGAGCTTTGCACACCACTTAGCATCATGAAACTATGAACCAGTTGAGAGCTGTATGGAACAATAATTTTGACAAATGCTCAGCCAACATACTTATGAGAGAATTGATCCAATGTAACTATCATGCCAGCAAACAACTGACCTGACCAAACGTTCATCCCTATGACTACCGATTATAACATTCAAAAATGTTCTTAACAGCTGAACACAATCATTTCTGTAGCCAACGTTGACACTAGTTCCGATGGCTAACATTGCACATTGTAAATGTCTCGGAAAACCAGCTGAACCTTTCATCTCATTGCACTGCCCCACCTCCTCCATGAAAAAAGTAGTATCACATGCCAGTGAACAGTTGTCCTATGGGTTGAAGACACACTGGTCTCAGAGCCTTCCTCACCGTGATTTCCTTTTCCTTATTTCACAAAAAGTAAATGTAAAGGGGAAAAAAAAAGGCACAGATACAATTGTAACTCTCTTGTTATAAGCAAGTACTTTATGTGTAACTATTGAAAATGTTCCTGGAGAGTCAATAAAGTATATCTCACAAACACTTTACAGAATTTTTTTCCCCTGTACGCTGTGCGTATTTTAAAAAAAAATTATATCCAGAAACTTGTTTGACTGGGAGAGTGAGGCTACTGAAAGCAAAATAGTTGTTTACAGAATTTTGGGTGTCCTTGGAAGAGGCTTATGTGATCTCCATCAGGGCATTCTGGTTTCACTCGCAAGAAGTCACGCCCATGCCTCCCCTGGCTTTTTTTCCTCTCTTGCCATAACGTACTCTTTTGACTGCTTGTAAATCACTAAAGCAAGCAGCAAGCCTTTGGAGGCATGCGCAGGCTTATCTCCTACATCAGAAGCAAATCACAGACGTTAGAGATGGAAAAGACCTATGAAACCATCACATCCAACCTCCCTAGCAAACGCACCGCACATTCCCTGGACAGAGGATGCATCTGACCAGATGCTACAGGCTGCCATAGCCAGGAGGTTGAGGAGATGCCCATGAGGGGGAACATGCGACTGCAGGGTGACTGACTGCCCGGTGCTCCCTGGACAGCAAGGCTGCGTCCCACCAGGCAGGCTAGAGGAAGGAACGATGAACGTCATGCCAAACCACCCCTAATGCACTAGGCAGTAGGCTGAAGACAAAGTAAGCTAATACTCGAGTAGTACCCTGCCTTCTCACCGGTACGTATTTTTTCAGTTGCAAAGAGCTGTGCCAATAAATAATCTGAAACCTTACCTCATAACAAAATATGACTCTCTCCACCAAGATTTAAGTAGAAGCAGATTAAAAAGCACCACCCATTCCCAAGGCAGAACACCAAATGTTAAAACAACAATACAGACTTTCCAGCCAAGTATTTAATGATAATGGTACAAAGTAGCTGTATATTCCAGACAAATGAAAACCCATTTTGCCACGAAGCCTACATAAAAATTTCATTTCTCCATAGTTAAAACTGACTGCTACAAAAGACATTTTTAAATACATGATCAAAGAAAAAAATATTTGAAATTAATATTTGAAATGTAAAAAGCTCTCAGCTTCCTGGGTCTGAAGTTAGGTCAGCTAAAATTTAAGAGATGGGATGAGGAATAGGAACCTGATTCGAAGTTTTTTCACAACTCTCCTTAGGAAAAAAGTCATTTTACACATCAGTTTACAGATCAGGTTCCACTTCAATCACAGCAACTCTAATTACTTTCCAAAGTCTTGATATGTCAATGACTAGTTTCAGGTATTTTTTCCACCCAGGCATGTTCTCCTTACATGGTTTCTTCCAGCTCCATCTCTACCTCGGGAAGTTCAAGGTTTGCAAATCATTGACAACCCACTGGGACAACTATGCATGGTCTGCTCTGATCCCTCCCCCCGGCTGTGGTCCTCAGGGATAAGCCGCAGCAGGCAGCCACCAGCTCCCTGCTACTGTCTTCTTGCCCAAACACTGACACTCCTTTCCCTACCACATCGGCCTGAATGCACTTGCCCTACACAGTGCATGTGAAAAATAGGTCCATATCTCTACTATGGGTTCAAGGCTACCGCTATGATGCATGTTTTAGGAACTGTTCCTCTAGCTCCCAGGCTGGGAGATGAATTTCAAATTGCAAGGATCAGATAGGATGCACATAAAATGTTGAAGCAGAAATACTTTGTCTATAGCGTCGTTGTTAGAAACTCTCATGCAGCCTCCCTCTCGTCTCCTTTTATGGTATCCACATACCTGGTCTCATGTTCTTTCATGCTTACTTCCATGTTTAGGATACGAAATGTATTTTTCTGCCAGTACCAAGCATCTTGGTCTTACCAACACAGCAAAAACAGGACAGCAAATGACTAAGAGATGTTTAATAGTCTGAAGCTGAAGTGTTGGCTCTAAGGAAGAGCAGACTGTGGCCAAAAAAGGTTCTTACCCAACCTGAAAAAACATCTCCCATTCATGCACTCCAGCTGAACCACTCTCCTACTTCTCAACCAGGCTTTTACAAACAATGTTCACATTCCTAATTATACCTAGACAGACCGATTTTCAGTTCTTTTACAATTGTAGGATAGCATCTCTCTTAAAACACGCATAATGTGGTTCACATACACACTACATGTAAGATGATGTGCTGAAATCATGACTGACTGAATTTAGACAACTGAAATTAAACTAAATTTTCTCATAGGTACAAAGCATTATCCAAGTTTTGGCAAAAAAATAATCTGTATTTTTCAATTTGAATCTGTTTGATAACCTCCTTTCAAACTAGAAAGTCTAATTCTAACATAATAAAGGATTAAGCACATCAGTTCACATTCTTTACCTGTAATGCTGAATTGATTTTTGGGTAGCCCCATTTTTAAATGACAACAAGCGAGATGTTCCTGAAAGTATGTCACTACGTCATTCTTCATGCACTCTGCAGTGATCGTGCTTTGAAGAGTTATCCACACAAAGCTTAACAGAATGATAACATCTTACTTATTTCCACCAAAATGCTCAAGTCTTTATCTCTTACTTCATAATTTATTTTACATCCAACATATCAATGCAAAAAGAACAGTGTTTCTTCATGGCAACAATGCACAGCTGTGCCAGAACCTTCTGAAATATACTGCTTTCTTTCATTTGTGATTTTATTTGAAAACCCAGGAAGCTCGAGAGTGTTGAAGGACATGGCTCAGCTGTGCCATAATGATTATTTTTAATAACTAAAGTCAAGCAATCCCAAAATGGAACAAAAAGAAACATTAATAATCTGTTCACCTTAACAAAATGTGAAGTGAGGAGGGAAAAGACCATGCAAAGTGTGTCCTTTATTCATGCAGGTCAAAGCAAGGAAATGAAAATGTACCATTATTTATTTTATTCCCTTTTCCTGCCATAGGACAGAAAAGACTTGCTTTAAAGGAGCACACTAAGTCAGATGGTATTATGCTTTTTGTCAGCAGAACTACCTCTACATTGTTAGACTTTTCCTAAGGTGGATTAAAACATACCTTCCTTTTGATCATTTTCAAAATATTTTTGCAAAAGTAAATATGCAAAAGAAGCAATAACAAGTCCATAGCAATAGAAAACCTAATCCAAAACCCCTACAACCTTAGTGTTGTGTGTCTCATTTAAACCAATAGGATTTCTAAGGAAAACACTTGTTGTTATGCTATCCTTTAAAAAGAAGAACAAATCAGCAGAGCTAGTCAAAGGTAATGTACCCGCTTAAGAAAGGCATTACATCATTCAGTTCCGGATTAGTGCTTCAGTGCAAATGGGCTCAGCCAATGGATTAAGACAAATAAGGTACACCTACCCTTAATTTTTCCTTGCCTGGTATATATTTTTTAAAACAAATGCATCCCAATGAAAGGCTCATACTCTTCATAAGTTTATCCCTCACTTTCCAAGTGAAGTTGTTATGCTACCATAGGTTATACTTCCAAACAACAGCACATAGGCTGTTACTGTAGAGGTATCACATTCAGAGGAAGCAGAAAAAATATATAGCCATGTCTAAAGTCAGTGTATTGTGCAGTAAAACCAAAACATGAATTAATTCTTCCAAGTCTTGGAAAAACCTTGACATCGACTAACACATTTTCTTACTTGAAATTCAAATAAAAAAAGCTCAAGAGAAGAAACCTTGTGAGCCTTTAAACTGGTTTTAGTTAATCAGCACTTCAAATGAGCAAGAGAAAATAAATTCGTATTATCAGCTATAAAGTTATCTAACAACGTTGTACTTCAAATACAGATTGCCACAAGACAGCAGCGCCTCGTTGTCCAGTAGGAAATCTGTGCTTCGTTTCTGACTCTCCAGCTTCTTGGAATATGAAACAGGACAGTTTTCCCTAC